AAAAAGAGAAAATTTTCTTTGCTGAATTACGTTACACTAAATATATGTTTCCGAGTTATATTCAGTTGGCAACAAAAATTTCTTTCGAGTTAATATTCACCAATAAATATTTACTTATAATGAGATAAGTAAAGTTTAAATCGATATATATGAGAAATTTCAATTAACTTTTTATTGATTTTTATAATTAATAAAACTAAAAGATTACTGATTTAATTTAAAAAAAATAATCGATTAATATCAGAAGGGATTTTTGTGGATATTATGGTAATTTCAATAGTTGAGATCACGAGTCAATTAAAGCTATATCACCATAGAAAACATGAAAGCACTGGATGGCTGTTTTTCTCCTCCTATTGTGGGACTCCTCAGCAGTGCTCATCAACGATCCCGCCTCGCGAGATTCGAGCTCAGGACCTACCAGTCTCGAGCGCGAGCGCTTAACCACTAAACGACTGAGCTGGCTGGCATCCAACGGTGTTAATGTCTAACTTCGAGTCTCGCGAGGCTAAGGAGTCCCACAATAGGACGAAACGGCCGTTCGGTACTTGCAGGATTTCCATGGTGGTCTAGCTTCAATTGACCCATGACCTCAACTATTGAAACAATCGATTAAACAATTTTACTAAATGGTGTAAATCTTTATTAAAATAAATTATCCTCAGTTAGAATTATGGACTCATTAAGAGAAAAAATAGCTTTAAACTTTATAGTACATGTATTTCTTCAGGATTATTATCTCACCATTTGTTAGTCTTACTTAGGTGTGTGCTACTGATGTTGATAGATATGAGTAGTATGTATCATCAATCGAAAGTAAAATACCTGGAGTCAGAAAGTTAGGAAGATCAAAAAAAAAAGAATTAGAGCAGGGAATAATTGGTGTAAAAACGAAGAAGCAATGAAGTCTGAGACGATCGACTGATATTTTGCAAATTAAGTATTTACTAACAGGTTCTGTTATGTTGTATTCAAATACATTCACTTGTTCCCAATTTGTGTTCACGTTCACTACAATGTCATTACCTAGTTACTATTCAAAATAAATATATGTCCGAATGTTTATACTTAGACTTCTACAGTATAACTGATTTTATCGATCGCCAATCTCATTAACTCTCAGTAACAACAAGACAGAGAGAGAAAGAGAAAGAATAGCTAAGTACCAAGTATTTTAAATGAAGATATTTCTAATTAATTATGTTGTGTTAGGGTATTTAATGAATTGAATTGCTCTTTTAATTGAAAAAAGTCTAAAATGGTTATTCTTTCTAATTACAACATTCCATTCTAATGGTTCTAATAGTAGAATCAATATTATCATCCGACCGGTGTATACCTAATCAATTACATAATGGAATAATAAAGATGGTTGTGTAATTTAACATCATATTGTTACCATTTTCAACAGTTAAATATTTCTAACACAAAATGTTACTAAACTCCGACACAATTCATGTTTCCTAGACAATTAAATTGTGATTTTTCACAAATTATGTATAAACAAAAAGTGTTTCCAAGAACGGCAATTAACTTGTATTTATCTCCGTCAGTAAATATTTATGACCAAATTCAATGTTCAAATTGTAATCATCACAGATTGTTGGAAATTCAGGTTAATATGAATCAAAGTGATTATGAGATTAACAGATAAATGGAGATAATGGTCTTCAGTAATTTTTCTTCGCTGCTACAGATCAAATCAGCTTCACTACTCGTTTCTTCAATGTAATTGATTTCGATAGAATATGCCAAACCAACAACAAAATTCTATTTTCCTTTCCAACTGTGACGTGGGATGAGAACCTAATGCAATTAGTTCTATCACATTCATTCTCCGTGTTACTCCAGAATTACCCTCTACATTTCCGTCATTCTTCGAGCGTTCAACTAATAACTGAAATCTGCTCTGAATTGTCACACAAGATTCACCAATGATAGCTACTGCATTAATGTAAATTCATTTGAAATCGCATCATGTTTTATGCTGATTACGTGTAATTGGGAATGTTATGAAAAGTTTATGTTATGTTTTGTGTAATGTCCAACTGTGAATAGAATTAAGTAGGCTGTAATCTAGAGAAAACATTCATTTGTTCTTGTGTGTGATGTTAAATAAAAAGTTGGACAGGTAAATAGAAAAATATTCACATTTGGTGAATGTTTGTTCTAGTTTATCGGTCAATGATCAAAGTTTGAGATGTGTATACAAAACGAGCTATTATCGAGCAAGCGAAAATGGTGAACATATTTAAGGTTCCAATTATAACCATCACAAATATTCAGAAATTTAGGTTAACATGAATCAAGTGATGCAAATATACTACTTTAATTTATTATTATTGAATACTTTTGATTCTCCGATTTTCTTTCTATTCTTTTTTAATCACAGTCTTTGTTGGAAGTGGATAGGACATATTGAAGAAATCATCAAACTGCAACACGAGGCAAACCCTAACTTGGAATTCTGAAGGGAAATGGAAAAGATGTAGGCCAAAGAACACACTACGTCCGGAAATAGAAGCAGATATGAAAAAGGATGAACAAGAACTGGAAACAACTGGAAAGCATTGCTCAGGACAGAGTTGGATGGAGAGTGCTGGTGGGCTGCCTATACTTCTCCATGATGGAAAACAGGCGTAATTAAGTAAATATTCATATTCTTTAGTGTTTACTCTTTAATATTAACTCTATTGTAACTAAATTGATTTCATTACTAATCAACTTGCTGATACAATAATGTAAACTTTTGGTAATACAGATTTCTATCAGTTTATATTTTAATTTTCAATAAGCAATCGAAGTTATGCGCTGGTTTGGTTATATGTGAAAACAAAAAACCACGTCCTTCTGTTCTTACGTTGTTAATCTACGTATAGCTTGATGCCGAATTGACAGAAATCATTTTCGACTGATCGTTATTTTATTGTAGAATAATTTATCATTTAATCAGTTTTAATCTCTTAAAACATATTACACTGAATTAAATGTTATGAAACCATTTACTCAAGGATCTCAATTATCTTCCTCAGTTATTTCTATCAGTGATATTATTTTCTGTGGTCCGTCGAATGTCACGTGACAAAATTGCTTATCAGGATACCAACTTTAATGACTTTATCCATGTGCTAAACCAATAATGTGTCAAAAAGTACTAACAGCCTCGAGTCAACTCTGAGTTTTTATTGGTCACTTCAGGTGTTAATGGAGTGTTTACTATTACTTAGAATAACTAAAGGTAAAAGAGAAAAACAGGACACCACGCAAATCTAAGTGTTGGTATCGACAATGTTTATTTTCCACTATGGGGAATTTGTCAAAATGTTATATGGGATTATAAGATTACATTTAATAAATTTTACAATCAAGAATGAGGGTTATGCAGACTGTCATAGTGGTTAACCTAAGTAAAAGTGGATATGTGTATTAAAGCTCTTTAATGTGTGGGTTCCTAAAGGTGAACGTAAGCCAGATAACAGCTTAATCCTTAAACATATGATGAACTCTAGCCACATGCCTCCTCGATAATCATTGTTGAGGAATATCTATGGAGTAAAACAACTGGTTCAAAAAAGCTAAAGCTATCCCAACTAACCAGTTGAAACCTGGCCTCTATGTAAAAAAGATTTATATTCACTCCCTTATTTTACCATTTCCCAATTGTCTTTACTTTTACAAACAGTTAATGTCATTTATTCTCTTATTGTTTTGAAATCAATTCTATATTCTTAAAGTAAGCATTGTCTTCTATATATTTTTGTTTCCTATTGCATCCAAGACTATTACATAAGTTATATTCAGTACTTAAAACACAAGCGATTGTCTTTGATAACATTGTTCCATGATGTAACACTCCTATTTTTTTCCATAGATTGTCATATTTAAAAGTAACTAAGATCGCTAGTCAAGTTTTGATAAGCTTGAATCTGATTGACAGTGTTACATAGTCATCATATCCTAGGACTGAGATGTATGGTGATGAAATAGTAAATATCAAATAAACATTATCGAATATCCTGGTCTATATCAAATATAACCAATCGGACAATGTATACGTCAGTAAACATTTTAAGAGTGAATATATCTGTTAACCAGTTTCAAACCATATTCAAGTATTCATCCATATAATACGTTCTAATCAACAAAAACGTGTTCATTCAACAGACAAACCAGGATCAAACTATCTATATTACAATATTCAAGCTTTTCTGGTTAGCGTTTTTCTAGCGAGTTAGTTTCCTACTGGATTGGGTCGCTAACCCCATGCCTAACCCTCTTCCTTCATCCGGGCTTGAGACCGCCAGTAGCTTCTGAGGTGCCCCAGGCAGAGTTACACTCTTCAAGCAATCCATGATAAAATACTGTCATAGTACATAAACTAATGAGTAATACTGAACTAAAACAATATTTTTAATAGTTGATATTATGAGTCATTTGAAGCTAGACCACTATGAAAAAATCGGAAACACTAGACGACCGTTTCGTCCTATTGTGGAAATCCTCAGCACTGCGCATACACGATCCCACCACCTCATGAGATTTAAACCCAGGACCTATCAATCTCGTTCGCGACCGCCTAACCATTGACTCATGTTCTCAACTATCAAAATTACTATAATATCCACAAAACTCCTTCTGATATTAAAACAATAGTGGTAATTTTCAATATTTTCTCTATTGATATCAATTCATTTCGAAATAATTCAATAATAAGAAATAAGTCAATTATAGTAATATTTATATTATAAGTTAAATTAACATTATTGAAGAATGCTATGGATCTGTTTTCCATTTGAAAATTAAAAAAAAATTAATAATAATCATCATGGGAACAAACAGTAAATCAATAAACATAGTTACGGAAATAAATTCAAACAGTAAAATTTAAATACTGGAATAAACAATTTATAAAATGTAATCTAACGTACAAAAGAGTTGGGGAGGATGGGGATGGGGTAGTAACTAACAGAGAGTATTAATTCATATGTATATATATTCATTTACTTAGCTACTGCTTCTGTTACTACCACTTTAGTTTTCTTCTCGAAAAAACAAGGATATAAAAATAAATTAAGTAAAGCAACTTGACAAGCTATGACAATACCAATAACACATATTAATTGAGAATAATCCCGTTCTATTTTAACAGCACAAATTAAAATACCTGAAAAAATTCCAGTTAAACCAACAAGTAATAAAATTAATTTAATAGAATTGTATGTTGCATTTAAATCTAATGATGAAGAGATAATTGTTGCTAAGTCAAGTGAAAATGCAACAATTAAAAATGACATACCAATAATTAAGATAACATTAACATGATTGTAGCAGTTTTATAATAATGTAAACAAGAATCTAATAATCGACCACATCCCCAACGATCTACTAAAAATCCTAAAACAATAAATGCAATACTAATAGGTTGAAGAATAAGCGATAATAGTCTTGACATTGTTGTTGTTGCTGAGGTATTTGATATCACCAAGATAGATTAATAATTGTTCTATTGTTCTTATCTAATGAATAAGTTTCATTAATTTAGTTTATATGTTGAAAGACTTGACCAATAGTAGTTTGTATTGTGATTATAATAACACTTGGATTGTAAGATAAATTAACCTATCCGGACGTTGTCCATTGGATGGTTGTTTAATTGTCAGCTTTCACCAATGTGAAACATTTATTATTTAATACAGATTTTATTATTTAAGTAATATGTGAAATACTACTGATTTATTTTATTGAGTAACTATTAAACTACTTTGGATTAAACATTATTGAACTTTGTAAACTAAAATATTTTATTTAAGTCGAATAGTTTATTTATTTATTTGAACACATAAATCTTGGTACAAGGGGGCACCAAATACATATGCGCCACACTGATCTCATTTGATATGTGTGAGGACTATGATACTGCCTGGGTGCCTAGACCGAAGCAGGTGGTTTTCTTAGGGGGACACACCAACAGCCGTCGACCTAAAAGTCTAATCCATAAGGCAGTGGAAAAACGTAAGGAGATGAAGTATCATGGTAGTCAGAGATCAATGAATGGTTCATACGTCATTTGTTTCTTCAGGATACTGGAGCCCATGTACACCATTGGTTTGAAATCACGGTTTTCAAACTCCTCAATGTGAATTCTGCATACCCGCCAACCAGGTTAAAGCGCCAGACATTCGCTTTTCGTCCTCTCAATTTCGTAAACAACAGTAATTCTGCGAGAATGCAGTGAGTAGAACTTCTCTGGTAGATGCTATATACGCGTGGCCATGTGAGAGCATTTCGAGAGGGAGAGCTGACTCTCCCCATTGTCGGAGGGCTAAGTCAAACAGAGGTGAATTCATTCCTTCCATAGAATCTCTATTTAGCTTCTTACACCCTAGAATTAATTGTATAATTTGTTTAAACACAAAACTGTGTACACACTTTAAATCGTAATGTCAGAAACGTTCTCATCAATGAAAATTGATCTTCACATGATTGAATATTTCGATGTTAAATAACGTGAATATCCTAGAAGAAAATTACATAAACAGATGGCGATATACTACCGAAAAACTATTAGTAAAGTTACGTGGACTCCAGAGTGACGTTCAAAATCATTTTAAATTATAAATAAGTAAACAAATTCAAAAATATCGCGTTTTTTTTCAAAGCCATTACTATCAAAAGTCTTAAAGCAGATTTTTACAAAGTCAAAAGGATATTTAATAGTTGAATTCATGGGTCGATTAAAGATAGATTACCAAGGATAACCCGGAAGCACTGTAAGGCCGTGTTGTCATAATATGGAACTTCACAACAGTGTGTATCCAGAACCGCGCTAGCGAGTTTTGAACTCAAGACCTTCGGTCTTGCGTGCGAACGCTTGACCACAAGACCACTGATCTAGCATCCAACAGTGTTAATGTCTAACTTTAATCAATCCACGAAATTGCGTCACCGCCCACCACTGTCATCAGTGAATTACTATTTCACAACAGACCCGGTTGAACTCCACTGGTCACAGCTTCTCACTAGAACTCCATGAAATACCGTTTAAAGCTAGTCACTAGTGAGCAGATAATAATTATTATCAGAAAGGGAAGACATCATGAAGAGCAAGAACGTTGATTTAGGCAGAATGATATAATGAACGAATGAAGGCAATTCAGTGAAGAAGGTTTCCTTTTCAATGATTCCATTTACTTGAACTGTACAACTGTATTTATAGTTATTTTATTCATTAAAGTAGTAATATTTAGCAAAATAAAATGGTGTTGAATCATTATGATAGCTTGAAGTGATATCTTGTCATGAATTATTTACAACAATCAGATATTGGAAAGAAGTTATGTAATAATTGTCCAGTGAAAAGTGCTTAGGTGAACATAATTGTTTACTTGATAGCTTTTAAGAGTTTTACTAACTACTAGTCAATAGACGTGAAAATAATTAGAAATAATAATTAAAAAAGATAGATTATAGAAAATAGAAATAAAGGTTAAGGCCGTGCAAGAATGATAGACTGAACACACTATCTTCTATACTCAAAGGTTAGGCTTGAACTGGTGAACAGCAATAGCTTCTGCTATATATAAGTTTTCCATATGGATTCCTCTTGAGCAGACTATTCGGACTATATGTATAACTTGGGAAAAGGCTTCTAGTGAAGTAGAGTGGTCAGAATTAACTAAATGCTGCAAGATTGAACTTTTGACTGACTTCTGTAATCCATTAGGAAGTCGGACATTCGTTCATTTGATTTCATTAGGTTTACATCAACTGCTTACAACCTGGCTGCTTTGATAACTGTACAACACAAAGGAAGTTAATACAGAAATATTTTAGTAAGAGTGGGTACAAAGAACAGAGTATGACCATTGCTTCATTGTCCAGTCAATCGTGTGCAATTAACTGTTACGTGTTTGTTGTCCTCAATGAGTTTCGGTGAACTGTTCGACATTCAGTGACCCGACTGTCGGATTGTTTGGCTAGGGCTCAGTGACATTTCACGTTCCCTACGCTATTTTTTGAAGATCGACATAAAATGGAATAATTCTTTTAATATTCACATTTTCTCCAAGCTTCGAACTTTGGTAATTTACCTAGCACTGTCAATCATAATTGATGGGTGTAAGTTGATCAGTTCTATAATATTGTTTCCTGAAGTGTTTACTGATGCATCTAAATCGATAGGATGTCTTGAATATGCGACACAAGGTATTTTTACAGGCCTACCTTCCAGAACAGTAATGTAATTATCCACGTTAACCAAATGTGGGAGATAACAGTGAGCTGCAACGTCACATTACATCCCTTGGTGGATTTCGAGAGTATCGGATACATAGAGATAATGGTCTTCAGTAATTTTTCTTCGCTGCTACAGATCAAATCAGCTTCACTACTCGTTTCTTCAATGTAATTGATTTCGATAGAATATGCCAAACCAACAACAAAATTCTATTTTCCTTTCCAACTGTGACGTGGGATGAGAACCTAATGCAATTAGTTCTATCACATTCATTCTCCGTGTTACTCCAGAATTACCCTCTACATTTCCATCATTCTTCAAGCGTTCAACTAATAACTGAAATCTGCTCTGAATTGTCACACAAGATTCACCAATGATAGCTACTGCATTAATGTAAATTCATTTGAAATCGCATCATGCTTTATGCTGATTACGTGTAATTGGGAATGTTATGAAAAGTTTATGTTATGTTTTGTGTAATGTCCAACTGTGAATAGAATTAAGTAGGCTGTAATCTAGAGAAAACATTCATTTGTTCTTGTGTGTGATGTTAAATAAAAAGTTGGACAGGTAAATAGAAAAATATTCACATTTGGTAAATGTTTGTTCTAGTTTATCGGTCAATGATCAAAGTTTGAGATGTGTATACAAAACGAGTTATTACCGAGCAAGCGAAAATGTTTAAGTGGATTTCAGACGACCGCTTACTTTTGTAAAAACAACACCAATTTCAGGAGGCGACAAATGCAGTGTTGAAGCGTCATCGATTGACGTAAAACATTTTTGCACTTCAATTTATTATGAAGAAAAATTCACCATAAAAGCATTTGGTCATCGAAAACCTTGATATCTTAGACAATGATTGTATATAGGCTGGGAAGTAAGAGACAGGTAAAAACGTTTTTTAATACCAATGTATTGTTACTTGATCTAACATTATTACTCATTTATTAAATAAATGTCATTTTACATTTGATGTGCAGTTTCTGTATTTTTGAAGAGAGTACAGTCGGTACATCATTCATACCACAGGCATGCGAATATTACAGGTTGTAAGCAGTTGATTTGAGTTCAAAGAAATAGAATGAACGAATGACGCAGGGTATTATGGAATGATGGTAAATAATTTGATGAGGTTGTGAATCTATATCGACTCAGATGGTTGTGCCACGTGTTACCTATGCCTTAACACTGATTATCACAACGCACAATCCTGAATAGTGTTGGAGATGACTGGAAGGAAGCTAGGGGTGATCAAACCAAAATGTAGCATCAGTACTTGAAGCGACTAACTTCTACTCTTAGCCATGTTGGCAGATGTAGACTACTTGGTTGGGGTCCATGTGACTATCGTAACCAATGGATGGAGACTGTGTGACTTGGTTCAGAATTGACCACAATGGCGTCGGTGTATACACTCTCTATCTTCCTTCAAACCGTGAGATTAAAATTGCTTTATATCTTTCTTTCTACCAACTAATTCTTTCTTCCTATACTATGTCCCTATACGCAATCTTTCGTTTATATATTGATGCGATTGAATTAACTATTTGTATGAATCCGGTGTTCATGTTGTTGTGGTAATAAGGTGTGGTAACTTGAACTAATGCACCTATATGCCTGGTCCTACGTTGTAACTGATAAAGGAGGAGGGTTGGTCATGGTCCCGTAGAAATCTAACTCGTTTAAATCGCTTACCAGAAAAAATTATTCAAATCATTTAAAATCTGCTCTGGGAGTTAGAAGTTCCTCATTTAGAAGTGTTATGATGCCTCATGGTGAAAGTCGAGTTCCTTCGGAATTCACAAGTCTGATGCCGCTTCTAACAACTAGAGCAACCATTAATTTAAATACATAGAATGCTCGTACAATGTGGAAGACCGGAAGAGTCATCCAAATTGCTGCATATTTCGACAACAATCAAACATACGATATAACTGAAGTCAGATCCTAGATTATTAAATCCCATTATTCAACCCATAAAACAAGCGAATCAATTATTCTAAAATCAATAAATCGATTTATACATATATTTATCACATTTATAAAGTCATTTGA